GAGACATAGACCACACAGTTGGCTGGTCATGTGGGATCCAGTCGCCTTAACCACCAGGCCACAGCAGGCCCAAGATTTAACGTCTCTCCCTCCAGACCACAAGTGGCTCACTAGCTCATTTCTGTCTCCACCAGGCTTGTCTCGGAGGGTCCTGCTGACCAACGTGGTGACAGGACACCGGCAGTCATATGGAACGAACAGTGATGTCTTGGCCCAGCAGTTTGCTCTCCTGGTTGGTTGAATTGGGAAGGGTGTAGTACAGTTACCCTGGTGAAGAAGTTTGGCTGGAATAAAATTAAGGTCCTTTGGGTGGCATTTAGTCCTCCTCTTAAAGGAAAAAGAGAGCCTTAGATAGGATTAATGGGTTACTTTGTGAATGTGTCTGAACTAAGTGGAAGTCGGCTTATTCAGAAAGCCTGTCTTAAGCTGGCTTTAAATCATTTCCTGGGCCCACCAAGTGGTGTGGTGTTATTCAGGTGCTGAATCCAACATGGCCATTTCCACCATTCAAGTCTCAGGCCCAGAGGTTTGAAAAACACCAAGGCACATGCGTATGCCCCAAATCCCTCAAGTAAGAAGGTGATTTTGCACTTTCCTTCCCTCTTTCTCTGTCTCTTCAGTGAGCACATGAACCTTATTGGCGAAAAAAAAAAAAGACTTGCTATTGGAATGAATAATTAGCAGTTCTCAAGTACATGGATTAGCCAGCAGGACAAAGCTTTTTTTGGAGAGGTTTTTGCTATAGGGCGTGTGTGCTCACCAGAATATATTTAATTTATTATATTTAATTTAATATATTAGATATATTTAATTTATATATTTAAAAAATGATTTGTCCTTGGGACCAGCAGTTGGCATAATGGCTATGTTGCTGGACTCCCATGTAGTTGACCGCGGTTCAAGTCCCAGACTTGGTGGCTTAAACTCACCTGGGGCATGTGCATGTGTGCCCAAGATCCCGAGAAGAGAATGGAGGAGAAGGGATTACGGCATGGCCATCCCCCCAGGGGGTGATTTCTTGCTTTCTGTCTGTCTCTCTCTTTCTGGTGAGCTCACGCTCCCTATAGCAAAAACCTCTCCTAAAAAAAAAGAAAAGAAAATACATCGGTATCATAGCACTTACTAGTTTCATATATGCTTTCAAGTTGCACACTTTTAAGAGCAGTGGATTCAGGAGCACACACCTTCCTAGCCTTCAAGACAGTAATAGGTGGGCACTGAGCTTTCCCTCTTTCCACAGGCTCCTCTGCTGTTTAATGGCTGTCGTTCCGGGGAGATCTTTGCCATTGATCTGCGTGCTTCAAATCAAGGCAAGGGTTGGAAGGCCACCCGCCTGTTGCACAACTCGGCTGTAACCTCTGTGCAGATTCTCCAAGAGGAGGACTCCCTGATGGCATCAGATATGTCTGGAAAGGTGAGGGACACTGGCTTTCTCAAGTGAGGGAGTCCCAGAGGCCTGTGTACCAAGACTCCCAAGTGGGGAAGAGGGTGAGCTGGAGCCCAAGCGAGTTGTCAGCTCCCCAGGAAGGTACCTTGCTGCCTGCAGAAGTTTAATCTGGCCTAAATAGAAGTGAAACAGGCTCTCTTCTGAGCTGTTTTTTTTTTTTTTCTAAAGTGGGATTGTTGCTACAGGGTATATGCACTTGCCAGAGAGACAGAAAGTGAGAAGTCACCCCCCACCCAGGGGATGGCCACACCACAGTCCCTTCTCCTCCATTCTCCTCTCGTTACCTTGGGCACATGCACACACATACACCTAGCATGAGTTTTAAGCCATGGGGTCCAGGACTTGAACCGCATTGGACTATGTCAGAGTTTAGTGACGTGACCATTATACCATCTGCTGGTCCCTCTTCTGTGCTTTGATGGACTCTAGGTCTCAGGAACTGGGACCTTTATCTTCATAACACGAAGAGGCACAGGAGACCACCTCGCCCTCCCTGGCCTCACAACGGGTTCACCAGCGTTCCTGCTACGCGCTCCCTCACAGCCCCTTGTGCTTCTTCCCACAGATCAAGCTGTGGGACCTGAGGACCTCTAAGTGTCTGATGCAGTTTGAAGGACATGTGAATGAGTACGCCTACCTGCCGCTGCACGTTCACGAGGAGGAAGGAATCCTGGTTGCAGGTACTTGACGGGGGATGCAGCCATCAAATTGCGCCTCTTAGGGCCTCAGCTACATAATCGGCAGAGGGGGAAGTTACTCAAGAACAGAGGAATAAAGTAGAACTTGGACAGTGGGCAGTGGGAAGACTCGAAGGGGGCAGAGTTGGGATAGATGGCCACCACTTGTGCAGCTCTGTGTCCCTGTGTCAGTGAGCAAACATGGCTTCAGAAGCAGGCGGATGAGGGACACTAAAATATTGCAGTGGAGGGACCCAAATTTGGGGGCTGTTCGCCAGGTCAGCATGATCCCATCATGCAACTGACCTGTCTGAAAATTTGGGCTCCCTGCTCTTTTCATATTTCTCCCAGAGGGTCCTGAGAAGGGAAATTAAGATCTTTGGGGCCAGCAGATAGTGTGATGGTTATGGTGGCTGGATCCCGCTTAGCTAGTGATTACAGTCCCAGACCCGGCAGCTTGAGAAACAAGCCAGGCATGCCCAAAATACTGAGAGAAGAATGGGAGAAGAGGAATTGCAGCATGGTCGTCTCCCTCCCCCGGGGTAGGGTAGGAGGGCGGTTCTCACTTTCTTTCTCCAGCAAGTGCATATGCCATATAGCTTAATTTCAAAAAAAGAACAGAAATTAAGGCCATTGTAATAACTGATTCCTGTTGCCTTCAACATCATCCCTGTAGAAGAAGAGCAGCCACCAGCCACTAAATCCCCTTGAAAGGATTCACACATGATTACTAACTGTACAGTTTCTAGGTCATAGAAAACCAGATAGTGTGAAAGGTCAGTGCTGGTACAGGTCAGTAGGCCCTGGGCATTAAGGAATGTGTCTGAGATTTCATGTATCCTCGAATTTGCTAAGTATTACTCTTACGGAAAGTACATACTCCCCATAAAACTGAGTTTTGCTCTCTGAGTGATGCTAAGAAGCATCACTCAGTTAGATGCTTCTTAGACTCAACACCAGCACTTGGCTGCTTTTTTAAGTCTGCCTTCCGTAAGTTTTCGTCTCAGAAGAGTTTCTCTGCCTTGGCTAAGAGAAGAGCTAGGCCTTATTTTGTGAGGCAGATGTGGGTACTCAGCCTGCTGCAGAAATAAACTGCACAACTGGGTCCTTCCTCCTTGGCTGAGGACATGCCGTGGTCAGAGCACAGACGTGAAGTCCATGGCACCCTCCGCTCGGGCCTCCTGCTG